TCCCTTTTATTTAGCCTACTTTTCTCTTTTATTTTTAATAGCTATCCATTAAAAATGCTGCACTTACAATTTGCTGGTATTTACTGTTCTGTTTTAATGCTGTCTATTAGTTCTTCCCTCCTTTCCTTTTAATATTTACACATATCATCAAATGCTGGGCAAAATTTTTCTGCTGGAAAAAAGAAAAATCCCAGGAGTGTAAATCAATTACAAATAACTTGCTACTGAGGGCATGGCTGGGCTTTCTGTGCTGCTCCAGTGTCCCATCGAGTTTCAAGTAGCTGAGGACACTTTTACATTATAAATAATCCACGTTAATTTCATTTGGTGCATTTTTATTTCTTAACTTCATCAGAAAACAGCACAACTGTCGTGAATGAAGAAAAATAAATCAAGTTATGCCTTAATAAATAACTATTAATGAGAAGGCTAAGAAAAAATTGTGGCCAGGAGCCTCAGTTTGACATAAGCTACTCCAGCCTGAAGGATTCCAGCAGGAAAAACCCAGTTTAAAATTCTTACACTTCCTCCATTTCATGTGCACTCAGCAATGCTTATGCAGCTCAGATAATCCCTGCCTGTACTTTATGTATGGCGTGGCAAATGCCAGCAGTGTATGGAAAACAGGATCCAGCCTGCAGCAGAGCAGCCAGAACGGGATGAAGGGAGCTCAGCAGCACCTGAGCCTCGGGCTCAGCTCTCCCAGTGCAAACAGCACCCTCCAGCAGTCAGGGAAACCTCTGCAGTGGCTTGAGGGGGACAGGAGCACCCCCTGCATCCAAATGGGGACCCCTTGTAGTGAGGCTGAGCTGTTGATACAGCAAGAGAGGTCGTGGTCCCTAAAACACCCCTGGGACAATGTGACAGAGATTTACCAGAAATAGTCTCTTCCAGAGATGGGCTAGAGGTAAATTCCAGCTGATGATTCTGTTTCTCTGCCCGTGTTTGATAAATTAATTAAGGAACAGAGAGGGAATAAGAAAAGTGAAGCCTCATAAACTGCTTCACTAACTGCTGCACAGAGAAGACTCTCAATTCTCATTTTCCTCTATCAACATTTTCAAAAACACTAACATTTCTTTTTCTTGTTAAATAATTTCTAAGATAGAATCCCAAGAATATTTGAAAGGGAGAGGGGAACCTCAATATTGAATATGAAGACATTGTGCAATATGGAAATCTCATGGGGACAAGGAGAGGGGTCATCAGGGCAGGGAAGGAGGTTAAGCTGAGCTTTGAGCTCAGTCTAATGGCATGAGCCTCTTGCAGCCTGTGCAGCTGGGAGTGTTTCTGCCCAGGGCCACTCTCTGTGTGCTGGAGAGCTCAGCTCTGTGTCCTGCACAGCCCAGCACCCTGGCCTTCCCTAAATTCCAGGATTCCCATCTTCCACTGAGGAACACGGCAGGGAGAGCCATGGGATATTCCTTCTGAGCTCTGGGCCTGTCCCTGGAGCACAGGCTGGCAGCTCTGCCAGCCAGGAGATCCCAGCAGGGATCAGTGATCCCATCAGGGAGCAGCACACGCTGCTGGGGCCTCCTCTGCCACCCTGGGCTTCCCACAGCTTCTCCTGCCCTGGAGCTGGCAGCTGGAGGCCATCCCTGACTGCCCAGCAGGGCTTTTGGGCAGAAATGAAGCTGGAGCTGTGTCTGAACCCTCCCAACACTCAGACCCAGCACCCCAAACTCCTCCTGTCCTTAACAACCCCAGCGAGCTGGGAAGCAGCTCCCATTTGCAATAATTACAGCAGAGCTTCCCTCCCCCTTGCACTCTTTACTGCTTTTGCCCTTGCCATGGATTGCTGGGGACAGAGAGACTATTAAAGCTCAGAATATTTCTTTCTGGACAGTCAGGGCGAGCTTTGGGAGAAAACTCCCTCTTTTCTCTCCACCACTGCCACTTCTGCTGGGAAGGGATGGGCAGGGAGGGGAAGGGGATGGTTCCCACTGCAGGCTGCTGGAGCACTCAGTGCCTGCTGAGCAGTGACTGCAGCAGGGGAACGCTCTCCTCTGGTGGAAACAGAACCTTGTAAGGATAATTCTGCAAAGTACAATAATTGCCCAAGCAGCCACCTCTAAGTTGGGTCTCCCTCCCTTATTCTCACAATAAGGGGAGAAAGGTGCATTTCAGTGATGACAGCTGAGGCTGGCAAGAGGCAGCCAAAGGGCACCTGCCAGCTCCCACCCTGCTGACAGCACCCCCACAGCTCCAGGATGGGCTTTGGCAAGGAGATGGCTCGCTTGCCAATAATAATAATTATCATTAATAATCGAGTGACGTCCTAATCTTGGTTACATCAGCCGTACCCTTCCCCGGAGCTGCTGCCAGTCACACTCACACCGGTCTCCGAGCAGAGACACGGGCCGGGAGCTGCTGTGGCTGGAGGGAGATGCAGGGGATGGCCCGCGGTGACTTCTGCCTGCTGGCTGAGGGGACAAGGGGACATGGCCTGGACAAACACTGCGAGAGCCGCCTCTCTGTGTCGATTTGAGTCTCCTCAGCCCTCTGAGGGGCATAAAGGATGGGAAGGGAGGTGCGGGACCGTCCCTTCCCTCCTCCTCCTCCTCCTCCCCCGGGGCATCCCGCGGGGCTGTCCCGTGTCACAGCCGGGCAGGGGCACAGGGGTGTCCGTGTGTCCCGGGGCGGGTCCTGCCTGCGGGGGGACCCGGCGGGATGTCCGTCCGTGCCCGCAGCGCTCCCCGCTCCGCATCCCATGGCCATCCCTCTCTGCCAGCCCCTCCGCACAACCCGACGGCAGCAGCCCAGGCGAGGAAAACGAGCGGTATTCGGGGGCGTTTGGGAAAGATGCAAGGTCAGGGATCCCCCCGCGCACCCCGACCCTGCCCCACGGGCGGCATCCATGGGGAAGGGGCGCTGCCCCCCAAACCCAGCGGGGTTTGCTCTTTGAGGTCGCTTTCCTGAGTTGTTGCCAAGCCCGCCGTGCAAGCTTGTTGCGAGAACAAACTGTTGTGATTCCCCCTTTGGCCCTTTTTCCCCGCCTCCCCCCCATTCCGAACGGGGGGTGTCAGTGCACGGAGCCTGCCGAACCCCATGTCGCTCCCGCGTCAGAAAATGAATGATGCAGCAATTTAATTAGGAGGGAGCGGTGCGTCCATATTGCACCGGTGGAGGAGAGCTCGGCAGCCGGGCGAAGATGCTGCGCGTCCGCGGGCGCGGAGGCTGCGCCCCTGCCCGCGCAGAGCGGCCCCGGGGCGGCGGGACCCCGCGGAGCCCCCGGCACCTCCCGCCCGCACCCGCGGCTCTGCCCCTGAACTTTTCTCTCCCGAGCCGCGGTTCCAGTTAAGTCTCTCCCGGCCGAGCCACCGCGGGGTGCGGGAGGGGGATCCGCGTTCCGCGCGGAGCGGGGGGTGCGGGACGCCCCGGGAGATCCGCGGGGATCCGCGCGGATGTGTGCGCGGGGCCGGGCGGGCGCTGTGCGCGTAGGGATGCGCAGGGCTGTGCGCGGGTGCGGACGGCGGGGATGCGCGGAGCAGCGCGGGGCTCGCCCCCTTCCCTGCCCGCAGCCCTTCCCTCCCGAACCCCGGGGCAGGCAGAGCCCGCAGCCCCCCGAGCCCCCTGCGCATCTCACCCACCAACTTTCACCCGCTGCGCCCCCTCCGCGGATCCGCCGCGCCCCGCGCAGCCCCGTTACCTGCGGCGGCTCCCGGGGCGGGCGGGCACCGCGGGCGCGGCCCCTCCGCCTCCGCGCACACGCCGGGAGGATGCGGGAGGTGCCGGGAGTCTCCCCGAGGTGTTTGGCTCTGCGGGAAGCTGCGGGATCCCGGCGAGGCTCGGGGCGGGAGCGGCCCCGGGACGGGCGGGCAGCACCGAGCGGAGGAGGCGGTGGATGCGCGGGCAGCGGGGCGGCCGGAGCGGGACCCCCGGGCTGCTGGGACCCCCGGGCTGCTCCCCGCCGCATCCCTCGGCTGGCACTCGCAGTCAGAGCAGCTCTGATTTCCTCCCGACTTGGGCTTTTTGTTATCTGTTTTTCCCTCCGTTTTTTTGGGGTTTTTTTTTGGAAAGGGGAGTGGGGGGTGGGTGCAAATTCTGCCCCATCCCGGCGGCTTTTTTCCCCTCTCTGATTCTTCTTTTTCCTCCCCCATCTGCCCGTTTCCCACTTCCCATCCTCTCCGCCAACCAGCCCCCTCCTTCCCTCTTAAAAAAAAAAAAAAAAAGGAGAAAAAAAAAAAAAAAAAAAAGGATAGGGGGAAAAAAAAAAGAAAAGGCAAGGGAAAAAAACTGTGTAGTCAGGGCTTCCCAAATGCGCGCCCCCGACCTGAAGCCGAGCGCGCCCCCTCCGTTTGTTCCCCTTCTTGAAGCTGATTTTCATGACGTGGAGGAGCCTGATCCAGGGCAGGAGCGGCAGCGCACACACACACACGCGCGCACACACACTCACACACACGCACACGGCCCCGCAGCGCCCCGCACCCCGCGCACACCCGCGCACGCAGCGCACCCGCGCTCGCCGCCGCGCCCCGCCGCCCGCTCCGCGCTGCCGCTGCTGCCCGGAGAAGGCGGCGGCGGCGCTGGAGCCTGCAGCAGCCCCTCTCCTCCCTCCTCCATTGAGTGTGCCAAACAGCAGCTCTGCATCCTAAAAAGGATCATTGAGGGGCTCATTGCATTCCCAGCACGTTTCAGGCTTGCTTCTTTTTTTTTTTTTTCCTTTTGCCTCAGCTTCAGCAGGAGTAGAGAGAGAGGGAGAGAGAGCCACAGAGAGGGAGAGGCAGAGACAAACCAGCAATCTTTAAACTCGAGCTTTCTTTTTTCCCCCTTCCTTTCTTTTGCCTTTTTTTTTTTTTTTTGGTAACGATGTGCTAAAATCTCTCCTGCAAACCGGTAAGTACAACCTTTCTGGATCCTTTTGTTTCCGCCTAGGGTCAAAGACACCCCCCTCTTCCCAAAAGAAGATATAATAATCCTCTTTATTTATTTTTTTATTTTTATTACAGCCCTTGCAGAAGAGAAAGAACTTAAGTGGCTAATATTTTGCAAAGGAGACAGAGAGATTGATACTGCAACATAGCTCTCGTCTCTCTCCCTTCTCCCCAGTTAGATGCTGGTTTTAATTGCAGAGGGTATTTCTCTTTTCGTGCTTTCAACCATCTCCTCTTTCCCACAGGGGAGGGTTTCATTTGCAAGTTGATCCTAAGGATTTCTGTTCCTCTGGCATTTCTCTCCCCTAAATGCATCTTTCTGCTCTTAAGTTTACGGATGGGGGGCAATTTTTTCTAGCTCTTACACGAGGAAGGCAAAAAGGACCTTTTTATTGGGAGATTGAGACTAAAAGCAATGATCGCTCCGAATCATTCTAATGGGCATTTCAGGGATTCAAGGAAGGCTGCATCACCACTGCTATTATTCCCATCCTTAGCGTTTCCCTGTGCCCATACATTTAAAATATCTGGTGAAAGGAAGGGTGAAACCATATGTTGAAGGAGCTGCATCTCATTAGGGCAGTATTATTTTCATCTGATTGGAGAAGAATGGTGTCTTCATTCGGAATCGTGTATAGTAGGATAGAGAATTTATCGGCTGGTAAGTGTCAAGGTATTTTTTTTCTTCCACTTTCAGCTTTTTAACCGGGTCTCCTGCTTGGTCCTGGGGGCACAAAATGCCCTAATCCAAGGCAGGCTGAGCGTTTCAATCCTAGGTGCCTCTTCAGCTGTCACTTCCCTTTAGATCCGCTGATCGCATGGGCATGTGCTTTAGAAAGATTAATCATCTCTAAATGCTTTAATCAGCTAAAATGACTAATATGTGGTGTGTATTTATCTGATAATATACCAGTTGCATTAATTCACCGGCGCATTTGCGAGGGGAAGATTTCCTTCCCAATCAGGGTCGTTAACCATTTACTCCGGTGAAGATGCTGTGGGGGTTTCTGAGGGGAGCCGTTCTGCCAGGGACATCAGCACAGCTCGCACATTCCCTGGAACTCGCGTGTGGAACACATCGAGCTGGGAGGGAGGGAGATCGGAGGGCGGAGGTTCAATAACTTTGGGAGTTTGCATGGATGAAGGATGTGGTGCGACACTGGAGAAATGTGCCCACACTTGGTGTGTTTCCCCCCCGGAATCGAGGCGGGCTGTGATGGCTCCTGGGCTAAAACTGCACCCGGGGATGAGATCCGGGCAGTTCCGAAGCCTGGGAAACGTGGAGAGACGCAACACGTTCGGTGTGCTCGTGGTGCCGTGTGGGGCTGCATGTGCTGTCCTCTTTATAGGTGGCATTTACCACGGGGAGGGGAGCGAGGCAGGCTGCTATCGCGTGATGGAGCCCTCTAACATCTCTCAAGTATAAATCAGGGCAAGGCTCGCCCAGCCGACACCCCTGGAGTTGGTTGGGAACGTCTGCCCAACAATTGCTGAACTTTCCAGGAGCCCGACATGAGTCCAGCAGGTAGGGGCTTAGGAAAAGGAGAGGGGCAGGGCAGAAATACTGAAATCTGTGTTTCTCTTCCCGTTGCAGTTTTGTAAACATCAACAAATGATGAAACCTTCCACGGCAGAGACGCTTCATAAAGGAAGGATGTTGTGGATAATTCTTCTAAGCACAATTGCTCTAGCATGGACTACACCTATTCCCTTGATAGAGGACTCGGAGGAACTGGATGAGCCCTGCTTTGATCCATGTTACTGTGAAGTGAAGGAGAGCCTTTTCCATATACATTGTGACAACAAGGGATTTATAAATATTAGTCAGATAACAGAGTCGTGGTCGAGACCTTTTAAACTTTATCTGCAGAGGAATTCCATGAGGAAATTGTACACCAACAGTTTTCTTCACTTGAACAATGCTGTGTCTATTAACCTTGGGAACAATGCACTGCAGGACATTCAGACGGGGGCTTTTAACGGGCTCCGAGTTCTGAAGAGGTTGTATTTGCACGAAAACAAATTGGACATTTTCAGGAACGACACTTTCCTGGGTTTGGAAAGTCTGGAATATCTGCAGGCAGATTACAATGTCATTAAACGGATTGAAAGCGGGGCATTTCGAAACCTAAGTAAATTGAGGGTCCTTATCCTAAATGACAATCTTATCCCCATGCTTCCCACCAATTTATTTAAGTCTGTGTCCTTAACCCACTTGGACTTGCGGGGGAACCGCCTCAAAGTCCTTTCGTACCGCGGGATGTTGGACCACATTGGCAGGAGCCTGATGGAGATCCAGCTGGAGGAGAACCCGTGGAACTGTACGTGCGAGATTGTGCAGCTCAAGAGCTGGCTGGAGCGCATCCCCTACACCGCTCTGGTGGGGGACATCACCTGTGAGACCCCCTTCCACTTCCACGGGAAGGACCTGCGGGAAATCAAGAGAAGCAAGCTCTGCCCCATGCTGTCTGACTCCGAGGTGGAAGCCAGCCTGGGCATCCCTCAGCTGTCCTCCAGCAAGGAGAACGCGTGGCCTACGAAGCCTTCCTCCATGCTGTCCTCCTTCCATTTCACCGCTTCCTCCGTTGAGTACAAAACGTCCAACAAGCAGCCCAAGCCCACCAAGCAGCCCCGGGCGCCCCGGCCTCCCCCGACCCCCCGTGGCCTGTACCCCGGGCCCAACCAACCTCCCGTGGCTGCCTACCAGACCCGGCCCCCCATCCCCATCATCTGCCCCACCGGCTGCTCTTGCAGTTTGCACATCAACGACCTGGGCCTGACGGTCAACTGCAAGGAGCGGGGATTCCACAACATCTCCGAGCTCCTGCCCAGGCCCTTGAATGCCAAGAAGCTGTACCTGAGCGGGAATTTGATCCAGAAAATCTACCGCTCCGATTTCTGGAATTTTTCCTCCTTGGATCTCTTACACCTGGGGAACAACCGGATCTCCTACGTGCAGGACGGGGCGTTCATCAACCTGCCGAACCTCAAGAGCCTGTACCTGAACGGGAACGACATCGAGCGGCTCACCCCGGGCATGTTCCGGGGCCTGCAGAGTTTGCATTACCTGTACTTCGAGTACAACCTGATCAGGGAAATCCAGCCGGCGGCCTTCAGCCTCATGCCCAACCTGAAGCTCCTCTTCCTCAACGACAACCTGCTCCGCACGCTGCCCACCGACGCCTTCGCCGGCACCTCCCTGGCGCGCCTCAACCTGCGCAACAACCACTTCTTGGCGCTGCCGGTGGCCGGGGTGCTGGAGCACCTGCACGCCATCGTGCAGATCGACCTGAAGCTCAACCCCTGGGACTGCACCTGCGAGCTGGTGCCGCTGAAGCAGTGGCTGGAGGCGCTCAGCTCCGTCAGCGTGGTGGGCGAGGTGCTGTGCGCCAGCCCCGAGCCGCTGGCCCGCCGCGACCTGCGCGCATTCTGAAACCACACCACTATAACACGTGTTGGGAGGTTCAGCAAGTTAGAAAGCTGCTCAAATTCATCATCCTTTGGGTAAGCATTGGCATCAAAGAAATCTTGCAGGACTCTGAGCTGGTAGTCAGTAAAACGTGTTCGAGAGGACCGCTTGCTTCCCCAGTACTCCTGCTTTTGAGGCTCTGGAGAAGGAGGCCGTGAGTCTATCTTCAGCTCTTCCAGACTGGTAATGGGAGGGTTGCTGAAGTTGTACGGGGAGTCCTTGTTGCGTTGGCGCTCCTTGAACAGGGTGTTTCTGAACCAGTGCTTGATCACTTTCTGGGGCAATCCAGATTTGTCTGCCATCTCTTTGATCTGTTCCTCACTTGGGGAATTGTTAATGTCAAAATACTGCCGAAGGACTCTGAGCTGGTCATCGGTGATCCGTGTGCGTGGCCTCTTGTTCTGCTGCTGCTGGAGAAGGCTGGGGTTGAGCTGATGCTGGTACAACTGGGCCAAGTCGGCGGGCAGGGGGTCTACAGGGCCCAGCTGAGGCGGCAGCTGTGCTGGCAATGTCTGCAGGGGCATGGTTTGCATCATGAGCGGTGAGAAGATGGGCAGCTCCATAGGCATGGAGAGCTGTGTGAGCGGCACAGACGGCTGGGCTGGTGCGATGGTGGGAGAGGTGATGGGTGGGGCAGAAGTGGGGATGGCAGGAGCAGCAGCCTTCCCTGAGGGCGGCGGCGGCGGCGGCGGGGGCGGCGGCGGCGGCGGGGGGGGTCCCGGGGAGCGGTCCCCGGAGAAGGCGCCCCCGGCGGGCCACGTCTACGACTACATCCCGCACCCGGTGACCCAGATGTGCAACAACCCCATCTACAAGCCGCGGGAGGAGGAAGAGGCGGCGGGCGGCGGCGGCGGCGAGGCGGCCGAGCTGCTGCGGGGCGGCGGCGAGCGCGGCTTCGCCCACCCCGCCGCCCCCGCCGCCGCGCCGGAGCCGGGCAGCAGCTACCGCACCTTGCTGGAGAAGGAGCAGGAGTGGAGCCTGGCCGTGTCCAGCTCGCAGCTCAACACCATCGTGGCCGTGCACCCCCAGCACCCCGCGGGCGGAGGGCTGGCGGCGGGCGCGCTCGGGGCGGCGGCGGCGGCGGCGGGGGGAGCCCCGCGGGACCGCGACCGCCCGCCGCCCTGCGCCGTGGGCTTCGTGGACTGCCTGTACGGCACCGTGCCCAAGCTGAAGGAACTGCACGTCCACCCCCCCGGCATGCAATACCCGGACCTGCAGCAGGACGCCAGGCTGAAGGAGACCCTGCTCTTCGCGGCCGGCAAGGGCTTCCCGGACCACCAAACCCCCACAAGCGAATACCTCGAGTTAAGGGCCAAACTCCAAACCAAGCCGGATTACCTCGAAGTCCTGGAGAAGACCACGTACCGGTTCTGACCGCCGCCCCGCCGCCCGCCCGGCCCCGCCGCCCGCGAGCAGAGGATACAGCTGTGCGCTCTGCCCCGCCAGATGTGCGCGCTGCGGGGCAGGGCCCTTCTCAGATCAGTAATCGACGAAGTGCCTTCGCAGACTTTTGCCAGCAGATGTTAATCAATCATTATTTTTTATACTGAAACTGAGACTTTGACTGTGCCATGTCTAAAGGTATATTATTATATTATTATTATTATTATTATTATCGGGGATCTTTGTATTGATCCTGATCAAGTAAATTCTATGTGTGTCTCTTTCTCTCTTTTTTCTTTTCCCTTTTCTTTTGTTTTCTTTATTCTTGTTGTTTGTTTTGTTCGTTGGCTCTTTTTTTTTTTTTTTTCTCCTTTTTTTTTGAATTTTTTTTCTTTTTCCGTTGGCAGCAAACTTCCTTGATATTTTTCCCTTGGAGGGGAGGGGGAGGGAAGATGGCATTTTCTGGCCTGCTTTCTTCTTGCCCATCATGGCACAGATTCTGTACATTTATTTAAAAGAGGAAAAAAAAATAATAATGCAAAGAAGCAAACGAGCGCAGTTTGCTGCATGCCTGGAAACTGCAAGAGGGAAGGGAGGGGAGGGTCTTGCTCGAATGTCTCACTCTTGTCTCTCTCCCTCCCTCGCACGCACACTCCTCACCCTCACCCTCCGCGCACCCCCCGCCAGCCCAGCCCCTCCAGGGGGGCTCGGGGGCCGCGGGGGGAATCCCGGGGGCAGTCCCGGGGGCTGGGGGAAGCCACCCGGAGCCGAGCAGCCCAAAGGATGTCACCACGTGGCGCACACACCTAGGGGATGCTCAGTGACACTTCATCATGACGCCATGGTTTTTTTTTGGAGGACATCCGCACTTTCCTAATAAAAGCGACATGCAAATATACAGATTAAAAAAAAAAAAAAAAAAAAAAAAAAGAAAAAAAAAAAAACAAAAGCTAATGGGCACCTCTCACTAACAGCTTTGTAGGAAGCACTTTTAATGTTTTCTCTCATGCACCCATACACGCACACACGCACACACACACAAAGGTACAACAATGTGCATATATTTATTCTGTAATTTCAAGTGAATATAAATTGTAAAGGTAATGTTAAATCATTGTACAGTGATGCGTCTGGTATAGCTTTCCTAATAAAACGTTTTGAAAAAAAAATGCAGATATATATATATATATATATATACACCCCCAAATATATATATATATATAGGAATACAAAGCTTGAACCTGAAACTTCAGCTTCCTTCACAGAGATTTCCTTCCCCCCATAATCTTGAACGCTATTTTATGAATAACAGTTCGATGCACTGTGATGTTAACATAGAAAAAGAAAAAAAAACCCTGTACAGCGTCTCTTGCCAAGATACCACCCGAGACTGTCACAAATCCGATTTGCGATCTGTATCCCTGCCGCACTGTCCTGACAGTTAAAAATATCGGGAAAATTGGGAGCGCATCCCGCCGGAGCGCTGCTTCCCGGCCTGCTGGAGGCACCGGGAGGCACCGCAGGGATGTTGCCTGTGCTGGCAACGGGGTGAGCACTCAAAGAGCTCCCACCCCTCCGGATTAAACCGCATTTCCAGTTTGGAATGGGGGGATGCGATCTGGGAAAGCAAAGCATCCCAGAGGCCGCGCTGCCCCTTCTCCCACTCCCGCGGCAACCGGAGGGAGACCAAAGACCATGGGATTTCCCTGCCCGGGCGGGTCCCGGTTGGTATCTTGTTCACGTTGGTGTCTTGTCCCTGGCGGTGTCCCTCTGTCCCGCTGTCCCTCTGTCCGGCGCTGTCCCCGCTGTTGTGTCCCCGCGGGTCCCGGGCCGGGCGCGGAGCGCAGCCCCTCGCGGCCGCCAGGTGGCGCCCCAGCCCCAGCGCTGAGGGGCGGTGGCGGGGCCGGAGCGCCCGGGCTCGATCCCGGGGTTGATCCCGGGGTTGATCCCGGACCCGGTCCTGGACTCGATCCTGGATTACATCCCGGCCTGGAGCCGTTCCCGACGCCGCTCCCCGTCTCCGTCCGCCCTGCCGAATGAACCCGCGGGCGCCTTAGCCAGGGACGGGCGAGGCCGCCAAGGGCAGCCCCCACAGCCGGGCGCTGCCCTGAGGGCCTTCAGAGAGTGGGGTCAGTCCAGAAATCCCCAATGTGTCCATCAGCACCATTTGTCTGAACGGCGGTCAGGGTGGTTTATCCGGGTGAATCGAGGTTATTCCCCCAAGGGTGCTGCTGGGAGCGCTCCTGCCGCTGTCCTGAGGGGACCGGGGTCTGTCACCTCCTGGCAAAGGGTCACTTTGCCAAGGTCACCCTCCCCACCACCTGCTCTTCCTTGGGGAACAGCTCGGTTTCACCCCGCACAATGTGTTTTAACAGAGATAAACCCATAAATACTTGTTCTCCCCACAATGTCGCTATTTACAGCTCCGGGCAGGATGCTCATGGTGAGCTTTTTCTCTTGGAGAGTCGTTTCCCCAGCCTTGGCAGCAGCTGTGTGTGTCTGGAGATGGAGGGACAGCTAAGAACCTCTGTAAATCTGGCATCACCCTCCATGCTATGAGTAAAAATATTACCCATTGCAATTTTCTCTGTTGAGTTGAGATTGTGTTTCCTCACTGCTGCCTTCAGCTCTGACCCGTTGGGGTTTGCTCATTTGTTTGTTTTGCTGAGTTTTTAATAGATAGTGGAAGAGCATGCACGTGCTAAGAGTATTAAACATGCAAGTGCAAAGGCCAGATCCTTCTTATCATAATTGTAATAATTACATTGATAAGCCTACATGCAAGTGATGCGTGGAGCTGTATAAATCAGGTTAAAGTACAACCCCCAGTGAGAGTGGTGCTGTATACATTTGGCAATGTCCTCAAAGCCCCAAGCATTCATACTTGTATCCAAATAGAGTAAAGCCGGTTGCAAATAATGTTTATATTTTAATTAAACTGCAGAAAGGCAAGAGAATTTCATCCTTACTACAGGCAGTAATCTCACCTGTGGACGGTGAGCAGATCTATTTATTCAGTGGAAATAAATTTGTTCTATGAGAATGGAATTTTGTATTAAAAGAGATAATTTTTGGCTTACGTTGAGTTATTTTTCTTTCCTTGCGTAGGAAACTTCCTTTCTGTTGCGTACTGAGATGATTTGGGGATGATTTGCTCTGGAAGTGTTGACAATGTCTAAGTGTGATGTCTAAAGGGTGTTTTGATGACTTTTATTTTGCTTTTTCATTGTGTTGAGCTGAGGCTGAGTGGGTAGCAGCATTCCTTTCTCACTGCAGGAAAAAAAAAGTGGATCCATCATCTCTGACCTGCAGTGGGTGACACTTTGCATGTTCCAAGCCAGGTTCCTCCTAATTAATAGGGAGCATTAATGATAATTCTGTCTTTATCAGCAGTAGCATTGGTAGCATTAATGCTACTGGGAAGGAATCAAATAAAGTCAAATGATCTGCAGTTGCATTGGAGCTGCTTGATGGGATGCTATGTGAAATAAATATTTTTTTAGCTGATTTCATGGTTTAGCTGATTTCACCTGGTGTCAGCCTGAGCAGCTCAGCCTGTGGTAGTAAAACCTTCAGCAAGTGTTTGGTTTATTCCCTCACTGACCATTGAAATTCTTCCTACAGGTGGAAAAGAACAGCAAGGCCAGGTAAGCCCCAGTCCCAGCCAACAGCTGCACACAGGGAAATGGAAAGGATGATCCTGGTGCTCAATTATTGGTGCTTTTTGTATTTTCTGGATGTTGTCATTGATGTCACCATCACATTGTACCCTAGGTTAAAAAATTTGTTTGGAAATGGCTTCATGGATCTCTTGAGTGTATCAACAGCCATAGAAAGATGTCAAATGTTACGGTATGAGTAATAATGTGAATTTTGGAAAGTCTGTTGCCTACTGCTCTGGTTAGAGTGTTATTGAAGAGTGAGAATCTCATTTCTTAGGAGCTTCAGTGAACATGAGTTAAGCAGTGGCAGCTCCAGATTTTGCCAGAGACCTTTCCAGACAAAACCACCTTTGAATGTGGCAGCACAGCTGATTTGGTTTTAAGCTAGAAATGTGTGGGTTTGTCCAACTTGTTCTCTGAGAACTTTGAAAGGAGGGAAAGGTCTCTCCAAAATGTGAGCACTCGGGTGTGCCAGCAGCACTTGATGATCTCTGTGCTGTTTCCACTTGCTTCAAGTGTCCACTTCACATGAAGAAGATGTGATGGTTCGGGTTGAGGTTTAACAGAAATGTTCACGTGAAGAGTAGCATGTAGAATTTGGCCCTAAGTGTGGGAGTTCATTGCTCAGGACATTGCTTTACCACGGGTGCGACTCTGGGCAGCGCTCCAGCCACCCCAGGGTGAACTTGTTCCAGGATTGCCCTTCTTCCAAAGGCACTCGCTTTTACAACGTGGATTTGTGGACACTGGGAAATCAGGCTGCTCTGTGCTGCATATTCCTATTTTCTGAGTTTTTCCAAGGCTTGGTTTTCAATCTGTAGCTGAGGTCCTCAGTGAATTTATGTATGTATGTATTTGTGTGCACACAATTATGTATTTGTGTTGTACACAGTACAACACGGTTTTTCTCCATGGGGGAAATGCACATCGACCCAGGATGTAGCTCACAACAGCTCTTTGTACAAAAAAAAAATCCTATTTTTTAATTCTGTTGTGAGTGGAGATACACTTTTTTTTTTCCCAGTTCTTGAAATATTTCGGGTTTGGTTGGGCAGTAGAAGGAATTGGAATGTGCTTGGAACAAACCCTTGAGTGGGAATGGAGCGGAGGCTCAATTCTGCTCCCTTGGAAGCCAATGTTGAGACACCACATTATGCTCAGTTTTAGTCAACAGACTTGAATGAAGAGCAAAATCTGATCTCAGAAAATTACAGCATCTATTAAGTGGATTCAAGTATTTTGAGACAAGTACTCCATGGGACTGTTTCGGAATAAAATGAGTAATGGTACAGAGAAAATGGGTTTGCCATCAATTCAGTGATTCTTTGACTGACCTCACTCACAAATTAACTGAACAATCTCTAAGACTTTTGATTTTAAAGACAAATTTGTTTAGCTCTAATGTCGTTGGTGACCAACTAGCCAAGAAGATTACTAATGTAACAATTGCAAATTATTTGGAAATACTTTATTAGTATTATTTTTTCTCTTTGAGGGCAAGAATATGGAGGTCCCTTCCAACCCAGGGCATCTGTGCTTCTGTGATTGACAGGCTCTGACAACTGTGTTTCCTACAACTTCTTTAAAATGCCTTTTCCTTGATCCTTGCAGTTTCCCAGTTGTAAAATTCTGTCCTTATCACATTTTTATTCAGGTTGTTGGGGCAGTTTGGCAGATTTCTATGAAACCATTGACTTTGCTCAGAGAGCAAAGCACAGAGTTCCCCAGGAGGCTGCTGGGGTGACACTTGTAGGTTACTTTTGATCCCTGTGGAAGCATTTGGGAACACTTCCCTGTGGTGGCATTTTCTCTGCTAAATTGTTCAGTATTGTGTTTTTCAGGATGGTGTCAGATGGATAATTTTTGTGGGAAAATGAGAGGAAAGGGCTCAAAGAGCAGAGCTGTAGGAATGCCCACATTCATGCTGGGTGGTCTCTGTAGGGTGGGTGCTGCATCAATCCTGATATTTTTGAATATTAAGGTGTTGATCTGGAGTGTAGGGTTTTTAGGCATTATTTAGAGGTGTAGACATGCAAGACTCAGCTGCTGGGTGCCTTAAAAAGAAGAGATACAAACAGAGGGCAGAGCAAATATAAAATATTCACAACCAAGTCCTATGTCCTGAATCTTTAATGTCCATTTACTTTACTTTTTCCACTAGAATTTTCTAAATCTCTCAAGAATATCCTATATGTTCTATGAATCCCGAAGAGATATTTCAGGTTAGCCAAGGAGTGACTCTCTCTGTACTTGGGAATTCCAACAAATGCCACTGCCTGTGGAGGAATATGCTGCCCATGGCATGTGGCACAGCAATTTGGCTTGTCCTTGGAGCACGGTGCCAGGGAGGGAGGTTCTCTGCAGTGATCGGATTTTGCAGTAGGGCTTGAATGATTCCAAGCAGGAATTCCTGAATTGTGATAAACCACTTTTGGAATGGGAAAGACTTCATTTGTGCTGCTGCTTCTGGTGGCACTACCATCCCTGCCAGTGGTGGTGGCTCTTGGCACCATTCCTGAGGAGGGACTCCTGTAACAGTAACTCTAAAAACCAACCAAACAACCAGAAAAAAGCTGAAGAAATGTTTGTGACTTTTTGTCCTGCAGGGACCTTATCTGCAGTCAATGACATTCCCCAAATATTACAGTGGCATTAATATACTGCTTATGGGGCTTTTATGCATTTTTTTCTTGCTTTTTCAGAGACAGTAGGTGGATTACACCTTAAAGAATTATAGGAATGTGTATGTTGATCATTTTTTCAGGCTGTACTTGTTTAAAACTAAGTCAGTCCCAACAGTAACTGTCCTAAACTGAGTTTTATAGAAAGATACATAAACCTTTGGTTTTGTACTTGGTCTCTAAATTATTTTATGTGTTTAAATATATATATAAAATGTCCATTATCTGAATAACCCTTGAACTAAAGTCCATCTTTGAACTTTGGAGGCTTTGCAAATCAAAGTTTATTAATGGTTTGGGTTTGTGGGGTTTTTTTTTTGTTCTGTGATTGTTCAGTTTGTTTTTATCACTGGTATGACCAGAGAGAGGGAAACATTGCAGTATGAAAATTCTTATAATAGAACTTTCATTCTTGTGCTTCTTTTCTTTGGAGAGTGAAGGAGATCTGCTCCAAAGAGCGCAGGAATTGCCACTCAGAGCCGAAATGTCTTCATTCTGCTGTGTCCTGAGAGTGCCCAGCACAGTCTGACTCAAAGGAAGATGCTAGAAATCCCCGTTAGTGAGGTTTCAGGATTGGATGGGACCAGCCAAGCTGCTCCACCTGAGAAATCCTGTCCTTGGGGTCCTGCACTGCTGGAGCCACTGGCCCCATGTGCACTGGGAGCACTGAGAAAATTCATGTTGTGTTGCTTAGGGGAAAAACGAGCTTTACAAAAATTAGGTAATGGATGCTGATCAGTTAAGTTTGTCTGTCTTTTTTAGGGAACACATCCAGGTTTCTCTGGTGCTGTTAAATTGCCATGCAAGGGCAGGACTGATCAGTTGTCCCCAAAGCACTGCTGGAATAAATCTGTAGCTAAATGCATTCTTCTTAATCAGAGAGACATTTCCTGTGGCATCACTTCTGTTATGTTTTCTTGCAGTGACCCAAAAACCTGGCTGCTTTGGAAAGTGGATAGTATTGGCAAGCAAAGAAATATGGCAAGTAAAAAGTCTTTTTTAGATCCAGTTGATGTCAGTGTTTTCTTCAAAAAAAGGGCAAGTCACAGCCCTGAGGGATCCTGAGAGGAGTCAAGGCACTGATTAAGGCAGAGAGTAATTGTTCAGTCCATGCTTAATTATCCCCTTCAGTTTTAAACCAATGAAGAATTGTGGATGTATCTAATTGATGTAAATATATATATATATATATATATATATATATATATATATATATATTCCTCCTGTTAGCAGTGGGGGGCTGTGACACTGCAGCCATGGAGGCTGATGGATGGAAAGGCGATGGTTAAGCTGTGACAAGTGGGAATTTTGCCAAGGCTGACAGTGAGAATGGCACCTGAAAGTCAAGTGTCTCTCACTGGCTTCGAGACAGCCAATAACTACATGAAATTCTTGTTGCAAAGCCTTGTTTTAGAGCAGGTAACAAATAGCTCCCAGCCCCTATTTTTCCTGCCTTTAGCCCAAGCTCTCACCAGCCTGCAGGTCGCTGGCATTCCCAGAATTGCTTTTACCTGTCTGCATGCACAGATCCTCCTTGGGCTGAGGACACACCCTGACCCCTCTGTTCGTGCCTGGAGTGGAGACCAACTGAAAACACAGTTCTCTCTGTTGGGTTTTTCTGTAGAGTGGTGTATTGCACCTCGAGACTTCCCTCTGCCCCGCCTGGAGTGCCCTCAGCTTGCTGGCAGCCTCGCCAGGTTGGCCGTGGTGGTGTCACAGGCCTTTGCCAACCAGAGCCAACCAGAGTCTGTCCAAGCCTTCAGAGCACAAAGCCCTGATAAGAAGGATCTCTAACAGGTACGCATCAGGGAGAAGGAGGAGATGTTCCTAAAATTAGTCGCTGTCAGCTCCAAGCAGGAGTGAGTGCTCGTGTGTCACAGAAACGCTGAGTATGTGCTGTATATACTGTGTGTAAATCTAAGTATGTACCTAGAATTACACTATTGAAGTGTAAAATTCAATCTTTGCAAACTTCTGGGAGAGTCAGGAATGTGGCTTGCTTTGGACTGTAATTAAAATGTGGGCATTTTGGTTAAAAATAGCTCCTTTCCGACCTACATTCCCGATGTAGGTCAGTGGAGGCACTTCTCAGACATATTAGCATTTTGGACACTTAATCTTAGCAGCATATTGCCTCTCCTAGAATAGGTTAGGAGAGGCAAGGCAGGAGGAATTGCTGCATCTCGAGTCACCCAGAGAGGTTGCCAAGATTCTCAGGCACCAGAGAGGCAGAATAATGAGGATTATATTTAATTCGGGCTGGAGAGACAACCGTGGGGTGTTGAGCAGAGGCAGCTCAGATCATCTTGGCTCTGTGGGGGAGGGAGAATTTATAACTCTAGCTGGCTCCAAAGCAAGCTGTGTGTGCATTTGCGTGTGTATATATATTTATATATATGTATATACAAATCTGGATGTGTATATAACACCCTGTGTATATATGTATGTATGTATGTATATGCCTACAGTGTACAAAATGTGTATCTATAGAAATGTATACATTTATATGAATTTCTATTTCTCTATATAAATAGTCATGCAACTAAGGGAAATCACATTTTCATGGCGTGTCCTTTTCTGTAACACCCCCCCAAAAAGAAGCTGCTTCCATTAATGTCATATTGGCACAAACAACTTAAATTTTCTTTTCTGTTTAGAAAGGAGTGGTGCTTAGTGGCTGAGCACAAGCCTGGAAGGTTTTTACTCTTCCAGAGGACTTCCAGTAAATCATGAGCTGCTCCAGAGCTGTTCCATATTTGTGAAATAAAGGGGTGGCCAAAATGACTCAGGGCTGGTTTTATAGGCAAAGGAAAGGGGTTGTTGAGTGTGCATTGGAAACCTCTGCTATGCTCTCAGAGTTTTGATGGTGAAATATCTGCACTGCTAATTACTCTGGTTGCTGTTAATTTCCCAGCAACTGGCTTGAACAGGGGAAAAAAATTCCTGCTCTAAAGTAAGTTATCTGAAGTCTGATTATGTTGCCTCAGTGATATATGGATTTCCATTTAGGGTCAGGATGTTGGGCTGTAAATCAAGAATCTGAGCTCAGTGAACATCTAGTTTGGGATGTGTCTTTTCTGTTCTAATTGATTTTAAATAATTTCAATTCATCATCAGAACGAGATATACCTATACCTTAATTCATGATAAGCTCAAAGAATTTCTCATTCATATCAGGGTGAATTTTGCACTTGACTTCGGTGGGGTTGAACGAGGTCAGAGCGTTTCATTCAGCACTGGCATAAAAACAATCTTGTAGTTGTGCAACTATTAATTCAAATTGTAATTTTGTAATAAAAGCAGCCTAAAAATGATTTGCTAGTTATGTATTCTATGGTTATAGCACCTTTTTATGGATAAGATGTGTTGGAGTTGGTGTTGGTTTTGATTTTGTGTTGCTGATCCTTACTCTGGGTTTGGCCCCGGAGCCAGAAGCAGCTCAGCCCTTGGAATACCAGGCCATAACACGCTGCATTTGAAAGGAAAAGCTGCAGAGTACTGATCCCTCAACATTCCTTGAGCTGTGTGCTCAGAGTGATGCCTGATTGCTGAATTCCACATGCATTGTGCAAATATTCCAAGAAATGTAGGTCATGGGAGCGTGGATTTGTCACGGGCATTTTGGCTCCCTGTGGCAGAGCCCTTGTCCGGTCCTGCAGAAAAACCTCCTTGTGCCTCCACCCTGACCATTCCCAGGCTGTCCTGGTCCTTGGAGCAGGGTAGAAATGTCCTGCCGTCATTTGGAAGCTGGGATGTGATTAAGAAAGAAAAAAGGGAGAATGGATTATTCCTTCCTAAGCCCTTCACTTCCTTCAGGGGGAAGACAGAGAGACAAACATGAAATCATCGTGGAAATCAAAACAAACACCCAGAACATATGACATTGAGTGAAATGTTTCTCCTGAGCTTCTGGATTGTGCTTTGCCTTATTATTTCGTCTGGGGGAAATCAGCACTTTATGGGAAAGTGCTTCCCAATCTCTTTTGCATAAACGTTACAGTGAAACTTCTGTGATGTATAGCTGCCTGTTCAAGAAAATGGGTCATTTCCATACAAATGTCATATTTCTATGCAGAAAATATGCTGAATTCATATCCTATCTCCTAGTTAAAGCAATCCCTTTGCTGGTTTTGTGATTTCAGCATATCTGCCTGGCTGGAAACAGCCAGAAGAAGAGAAGAAAAAATTATTATTTTTTAATTAACTCATGCAGACCTAATGTCAGACTAAGCACTTGAGTGCAGCATCTCTGGGGCGCATACAGGAATATCATCCTCCAATGGCTAATTTTTTTTTTTTGAGCAGAGTGAACCACAAAGCTCAGAGAGCTGCTGCTTTGCTCAGAGTCTGGAGACTTGGGGAAAGAAGTTTTTCTGATGTGACTGTTAAAGAAGATGCCTGGATGTCCATGTCCTCAGGGGAGCAGCCCTTCACACAGGAGCCCACAGGCTGAAGGCAGCAGGGGAGTGATGAGCTTTGCAAATCTCCTCACACTCTGCAGCAATCTCCTCCTCGCAGGATGAATTTCATCTAAAATGAACTTGAACTCCTGGCACTGCTGCTCAAAAGAAACAACAAACCCACGCTCCCTCTGGAAAGCTGAATTTTCCATGCCATTTTATATTTGGGAAAGGAACAGGGGATTTCAGGATGGGAGTTACAAACCGAGTGGATGCTAGAGATGGACAACCAAAGAAATGCTGTGACCCAAAGCCTGCAGTGCCTGGTGTAAATCCTCAGAGCTCCACTGCTCCCAGCACAGCAGTGCTGCTGGCCTTGCTGCTCAGGTGACACAAGGTGTTTGGCACCTGCTTCTGGAGCTTTCCAAACAGCCATTAGAATTTCTTGAAATAATTCAGATGAATCTACCCAACTTCTCAGCTCATGCGAGCTTCAGCCAGCAAAGTTCTTGGGCTGCTTCACTCTGTTGGAGGCATTTTTCTGCCTTTCACCCATGGGAATGTAAAGAAGTCACTGCTGTGGGATGGCCTTTGGTGGCAGAAGTGTCCCCAGGCCCCTGGCTAGGCTGTTAATTCACAAGGGGTTTTCAGGCTCCTGTTCAACTTCTGTACGAGCTTCTACACCCACCTAAAAGCTGCTCCTGTCCTTGTGTGCTGGAAAAAAATCTCTAAGGAAATCTCCCTTTACCAAATCCTGCTTAAACCAAATAAAGATATTTCACAGTAATAATAAGGATAAATCTCTATAAAACACATTTTATTAATAAATCAGCAGGTATTGACCACCAAGGTCTTGTCTGGAGTATAAGACACAGTTGCCATTTTTTCCTCTGACAAAATACTTTCCTCCTCCTCCCCCTGGGAATCTCTTTGGCGCAGACTCATCCAACTTTGATGAGATACAATTTGTTCCCAAAGTAGTAAATGGGAAAGGAAGGGGATCCTAAGAGATTTGTGTCTGGAGGAGAGCAAAACGTTCCCAGGAAGAGGCTTCTCCCACCCACTTATCCCACCTGGAGCTTTGGGGAATTGTGTTGTACCTAAACACCAAGATATTTAAAATTAATTAGAGTTTAACTGGAATTAAACTTCTGTTCCCAACTTCCTGTCTCCATGGGGAAGACAGTAAAAATTTCTTTTCTCATAAAAATATTATGAGTATAATGTGTGTTATTCAATGTCCAGATCCTCTATTTGATAGAACTTTGCAGGTATACAGAAAAAGGGAAAGTTTGTTACTGGTATTTCTTTCTATAGGAAGAGTTTTAAGAATTAAGTAAAAATTAAACAAACAAGAAATTACATTATTAATATCAAAATAATTATTAGCATATCAAATAGTGCACTATGGTAATAAATCACTGACAAATCTGGATAGAGATGTGTTAGGATTAAGTTCTGAACACTTAAGGCTGTGGTTAAGTTCCTGAAGATTTTTCATCTTCAAAAACTCTCCATTGAAAAATGTCTGCTTTTAATTGGAAAACAAAATCCTCAGGCTGACTTTTTTATGGATATTTG